TGACTTTCGGCAGAGAGGGCGCCATTTCAGCGCTTCATATTTTTTCCAGCTTAGTTTGGCCAAGCCATCGCACCCCTTTCGACTTTTGCCAAGCGCTTGGGCCGCCGACAATTTGCATGCAGCAGCAGCAGATGCAGCAGCAGCAGCAACATGCAGCAGCCGCAGCAATCGATGATGGCCAGTCCATCGAGTGGCGTCAATAATGGCCTGTCGTTGGCTATAAACGCCCGCTGGCCATATTGTTTAGCCGATAGTTGTACTTGTTCGCCGTCCAGAGCACTAATTGCCGCATATCGATGTGTGTGCGCGTAATGGCATAGATCATGCTAATATAATTAGACGCTGGCCAGCAGCAACATGCCAGGGACTGGGAGCGAGACTGGGATTGGGACTGGCACTGGCACTGGGAGCCATCACATTTGATATGAGGAAGAGATCCCGGCCGGCAAACAATAATTGTTCGGAATTAAGCTTTTAAGAAAAGGATCTTTAGATTTACGATTGCTGACCGCCTTCAGTTCGGCTCTGCACCATGGCCTATAAATAATTTCTATATCGAAAGCCGGCTTTGATGATGGTCTAATTTGGCTGCGGGGCATTATCTGCGCCTAGTGATATATCAAGTGGGTCCGGCGCAAAGCGCATATTGCTATGGCTGCTGATGCCTCATCGCTGCCAGCCAAGAAATGCAATTTTCGGCAGCAGCAACAGCGGCTACATGGCAAAAATGCATAGGAGGGAGGGGAAAAAATGTATATAAAATAAAAGAAATGGCAGATATTCGCCTATGCTTAAAATTGCAAGGCAAATTGCGGGCAAGCGACCGCATTGGTGTTGCATGTTGCATGTGGCATGTTGCTGTGGCAGTTGCAGCGTCATCACAAACATCAATTGACCCTTCGGTGCTTCAGGATCAAGCGTAATAATCGCCGGCATAAAAACGCTTTGCACTTTTGCGCCAGAATAATGGTCGAAAGGTTGCAAGTGGCCTGTTGCAAGTGGCCTGTTGCAAGTTGCCAGTGCCAGTTGGCGGTTCCCAGCATGCATATGTGCTTGACCATGACGCCATACCATCACGTATCCACATGATTGTGGTGGCAATAAAAGACATAAAGTGTCACCAATAATGAAAAAATTGAGTGGCACTTATATGAATTCAAGATATGGATAGGCCACCAGTTTTCTATCAATAAATAAATAAAATTACAAATGTTTAATGTGTATAAATTCGAACTTGATCCTTAAAGCTGCTTGATGTTTTCATCACAGCCAGCCAACAATTTCCATAATCCCATTCAGCAGCATTTTTTGCTCCCACTAACTTTAAAGCTCCAATTTGAAGGTGGCCAACATTCTGCTCAGTTTTTTGCCTGCCTTTATTTCGAAAAAATGCCCAAATTCAGGATGGCAAAGTTCAGTACGGCGTTGTTTTGTCAGTTTCGAGTTAGTCATTCTAAAAACATGCCGAAACGGATTCATTCATCAATATACATGGGGAAGGACACGTTGGGTTTTGGGCTACCAACTGGCAGATTTTATATCCTTCACTGGGTTTTAAAATTACCGAATGTCTACCTTCATGCTGCTAAAGGTAATTAAATATTATAATGGCTACTTTCGTACCTATTTATGTTGCCGTTTTATTTATAAGCACTTCACTTCAGTCGAAGGGTATTTCATCTACGTATCCCAGAATCTCACATTGCCGGTCGGCTTTTATTTTGTGCAGTTTCTCTTGCTGGATTTTTATAGCTGCCGCCCATGGTATCAATTCTGCACGCTGGCCGTCATGTGTGCCCTGGCCCTGGCCCCAGCCCAAACCCGATTCCTGGGCCCGAACCCATGCCCAAGCCAATATCCAGTCCCAAATCCATGGACTCACATAGCCGTGGATGGCAGAGCGAAACGAGTGCAACACGAACTGCTTAATGGACTGGGCATGCACTCTGAGCGACGACCCAGCAGTTCCTCAAACTTGGTTCCAGCCGCAGTCGCAGTCCCAGTCCCAGATGGAGCCTCCATTTCATGGCCATGTGAGAAGAAGACATCTGGGTCCCAGACACTCATTTCCCGCCGAAGTGTGTGTGCGGGTTAATCAGCTTTGCCAGCGGGCTTTTCATCAAAGAGCGAGCGGCACCCACACAGGCGACACCACGTTGCAAAAGGGATGCACTCAGAAAAAAGCAATGACCAATCTATACAAGCGTGAAACATCAAATAATATCCTTGAGTTGCTTCCAGCAAAGATAGAAATATAAGGCTTGCTCCTGAGAAATATTACAAATTATTAAGAAGATCGTTTTCTAGTTCAATTTGCTGAGTGCATTTTGCATAGAGAACAGATTAAGCATACGACGTGTTGTGCAGTTATCAACGCGATGCCAACGATTCCTAACGGAAAGCCGTGCGTCGTCCCATGGCGGAGGTCTGTGCCCCAACCGCTCCACCTTGGTCTTCGGTAATTTATGATTCGCAGCGCACGGCCTGCAAATGATCTATTGCCCATTGCAGTTATCCAAGCGGAGGAGGAGGAGCAGGAGGAGCAGGAGGAGGAGCAGACGAGGACTTTGGATCGGCACTTGTTGCATCAGCATCGGAAGACTATAACAGCCACAAGTGATTTCTTTCGCATCGGAGCCTCCAGGCGCTGCTGACAGTTACAAAGTGCGCCCACTAGTTGGCGGTCAGGTTAAAATGACCCAAACTAAAAGCCAAAACGAAGCCCAGGCACAATGCATATATGCGTTGTCGACGCCATCTCCCTAGCTTTGATTAATGGACTTTTCGTGTTGGCTTCGATTCTGGCCACGGCGTCATAAATAAACCTAAAAATGCAACAACAGGCAAAAGGTGGAGCACGTCTGTGCGGCGCATATTTATCATTGGTAAACTTTATTCTTTACATTTACATACAACGCGTTAAAATTACTTGTCCAATTATATTTACTTTAGATATTACAATTGTATGCCTATTCATATGGATATCGTAGGTGAAGTGCTTGAAAAGTTGAAAATAACTGTTTACACAATAGAATTCTATGTCAATTTTAAACTAATCTGGCTACTATAAGTTACGATTTTGTGTTCCAGCGGAGCGCAGGACTGGGGAGAGCTAGAAAACGTTCGAATGCCGAAGAGCTTGTAAAAGACCTATACAATTCGAGCTGACTTGGCTCGTTCCATTGCTTTTGCTAATGCTGATCCTTTCGCCGTTGCCTCTGCTGGTGCTGGAGTTTTTGCTGATTGCTTAGACCCACTGATCTCGCCCTGCTGCTTGGGACACTATAAGGACGGCGGGTCGTACTGGAAGCCCGGGTTGTTGAACTTGAAGCGCGCAATCTCAAACTGCAGTGTCTCATATTTGATGTCGGCCAGTCGCTTCAGTTGGTGCGCGATCTGCTGGGCATCGTTGCTGCCCAGCGCGCTCGTCAGCGAGCTGGGTTCCCGCTCCAGCTTTGTACTGTGCAGCGGCGGCACGGCCTGCATGTTCGAAATGCAACGCGAAGCGTTTTTAACTGAAACAGATTGAAGGACGCACAATGATCAATCAATGAAGTGTTCTTAAGCAAGTAATGATGATATTTAAAATGTTACTCCAAGCTGAGAAAGTTACCTTCGTAGATAATTTGCTCCCTGGGCTGTGTGCGCATCCGCTTGACGGGCAGCTCGCCGTTGATAAGCTTGTTGCCGGAGGAGGCCGTGCCCGGATTGATGACGGCGGCAGCAGGCCTGCGGGATGTGACGTACTCGACGGCGTGCGGCTGCACCGTTTGGGGTTCATCATCGACATGCTCGAAGGATGTGTTGTCCACGACAATGGTGCGATAGGTGCCGCCGCCCGTATTGACCGCCGTTGTGGACGCGGTAATGCCGGCCTCCGCCAGATTCTCCTCCATCATGTCCTCGTGATCGACATGCTCCTCCACCATCTCCTCTTCGTCCACCTCATCGTTGATGGCCTCCTCCACGGCGGCCTGCAGTTGCTTTTGAAACGCTGCCGAAGTGCGCTCTCCCAATTCCTCAATCTCGTCGTCGTGCTCATCCTTTTCGGACTTCAAATTGAGCATCGATTCGCCGCCGGTGGTGGGCACCTTGCCAAAGAGATCCAGAGCGCGCGTCTCCACGGAAGTCATCGAGATGTCCTTTTCCGTGGACAAAAGGCTGCGTCTGTACTTGCAGCGAGTGGTGTTCTTCCAATCATTTAGGCGCTGTATTCGAAGGAGGAAATTCGGGATTAGAGCAAACATTTGGGGTGTGTAGTGATTCCCGTACCTTGCGCCACTCCTCCGGCGTCAGTGTGGGTCCGGAGCTGCACTTGTTTAGCCGGTCGGAGAGCTCCTTCCACTTTTTGGTCAAATAGTTCAGGTCGTAATCGCGCGGCACTCGTCCGGTGGCGAAAATGGGGTCGCTCTCCATCATGTCGATGTACATTTGGTATTGCTCCGAGGAGGTGCGTTTCTTGCGGCGGTCCATCTTGCCGTTCATCCGGGTATCCTTGCACTGTGTCTGCGTACTCGATGCCGTGTTAAAATCGCTGGCAAATGCCTCCCAATGCAAATCGACGCCACCAAGCGATGCGAAGTGTTCACAAACAATTACAGGCGTTTGGGATTTTCTAGTGGAATTTTGGTGCTGTCAGCGCAGGGTTGTATTCGGCACGCCAGTGGTGCGCATCTGGCGGGAAGCGATAATGCAAATTTCCGCCAGGCGATGCTTATAGCTAGATGTGCAAAAATTAAAACAAATCAAGCAATAACTATAGCTTTACTTTTTCTAAGGAGTAACAATTGTTTCGTCACCACATTTATTAGCGGTTTATAATACACTTCAATAATAATACACTTCAAAAAATATGTGCGAAAAGTATTTCGATGAACGATATGCATAACAACAGCCTTAAGAACGACCAATTGGTATAATTTGTTTGTTGAACCTTCAACGAATGCGTACTATACTACACATTGAAAGTTTCTCGACTTTTAATTCGTGTCGGAATTAGCAGGTCCCTATGAGCTCACATATTATAGTGCCCCATGTGCATGGCTAGCAGATCGAACTGGGCTATGACTCCGGAGTGTATTCGAATCCGGGATTGTTGTACTTGAAGCGGGCTATCCTGAAGTGCAGTGATGCCTCGTGTATGTCCGAAATGCGTTTCAGCTGCTCCTCGATTTTCTTGCCATAGGAGGCGGACGGTTCTTTTGCGCCGTGTTCTTGAGATGTGATTTTCGTGACTGAAATCAAGGCTGTGCATTTATAAGATATACCTACTTTAAGTCTGCGTCTACCCACCTTCGTAGATAATCTCACTGGCGCCATCAAGCCTTAGCTTTTTCGCTGCACTATGACCATTGATCAGCGTTGGGTTGGCATGCTCATGAGGCTCTGCCACAAACTCCTGGTACTGCTCCTCCTCCAACTCTTCTGGCTCCTCATCATCCTGTTCATCGTGCTCCAGAGGCTCCTCCACCAGTTCCAGTGTTGAAGCCTCGCGACAATTCGCTTGGGAGGAGAAAATCTGCAGAGCTCTGTTCTCCAGAGGAGTCATTGCATTGTTCTTGTCATCCGAATTGATGCTGCGTCGGTACTTGGAGCGTGTGCTGTTCTTCCAGTCGTTGAGGCGCTATAAGTGCGGGCACTGTGGGCTTATACACTCGATCCAATTGTGAATACAACATACCTTTCGCCATTCCTCAACCGACAAAGTGGGACCCGTGGGACACTTGTTAAGCAGATCGCTGAGCTCCTTCCACTTCTTTCCATCCAGGGTGCGACTCAGTATGTTGAGCGACATCAGGGGATTGCCCTCCATGAAGTCCAGATATACTTCGTATTGGTAATACGACGTCCGCTTGTTGCGTCGGTTCATTTTGGGGCCAAATTTAGACCAACAATTGAAAGCAAACAAATTGAAACAGACGCCACAAAAAGGCAATAAAGTAAAGAGCTATCGATAACGCAAGCAGTTCGTGCTCACCAAATGAAATACCGCTACAGTAAATACCAAAAAATATCAAAATAAATGTTTCGTTTTCCTACTTATAAAAAGAAGTTACTAGAATATTTAATTTATCTCCGTAACACCTATGGCACTTTCGCAAAGTTGTGTAAAAGATCTACGTTCCTAAAATATGTGAAATTCTAAAAATATTAATTTACATTTTTTTACTAAGAAAATTGATCTAGCGCACTTTTGAATTTGTGTATGGTGTATTATGTCTTTTTTGTAACAGAGATCATAGCCCTGTCATTTAAATCAAGTTCGATCAGAAAGTAGAACAGCAGACATTTTTCAAAACATTTTTAATTTATATTTTTATTCAAACAAATTCCCACCTCCTTGGTCTGTAGCATTTTCCGGTACGCGACGAACGGTCTCATAGTGCATAAAAAATCGAGTTTCCTGCATTTTCAGGTGTCAAAATAGCTAATATATAGTGCGAATTCTGACCCGAAAATAGTGCTATATCACGGGGCAGGCCACTGACCACCATATAGACCGCAAGGGAATACAGATGATGTGGCCACTGGCCCGGAAAAGGTCGTTGCAAAACGACGCATGAGACTCGAATTCCAAACCAGATGATAGAGTAGCGTGCTAGTGAGAGCGAGCGAGAGAGGGCGAGAGGAGCAGAGAGAGAGAGAGAGAGAGAGGAGCCCAGAGTACAGACAAAACTCCGAGCCCGTGTTCTCGTCCATTTTCCGGCCGATTTTACAGCCTACATAGCCGCTATATAGTCGCCCGAATGGCGGAGGAGAACCCCGGAGGTAATGCCGGCAACGTGCCAGATTCGGGAGCGGATGAGGTGGGCGCATCGGTGATTGTGGAGCCGGGGTCGGAAGGATCCAATGCCGGAACACGTACTCTTCCGGCTGCGGCCATGAAGTTCGCAGATCTCACCGAGAGCGGCAGTGAGTCGGGGGACAACGAGGCCGAGGAACCCGTAGCCGCAGGTCCGGATAATACAAACGCCACCGGTGAGCCGGGCACCAGTGCATCCGCTACGGAGGAGAACGGATCAGCGGAGCGCTCCTCGCCGCCACCCAATTGCGCCATCTGCTTGTCCCGCTGCAGGAGGAAGTGCTTCACGGACTCGTGCATGCACCAGTTCTGCTTCAAGTGCCTGTGCGAGTGGAGCAAGGTGAGTAGTCCGCAGGCCAGAGCAAGCAAGCAAACAATTATCTAAATCCTCTAATTACCTTCCATTCCAGATAAAGCCCGAGTGTCCACTGTGTAAGCAGCCCTTCAGGACCATCATACACAATGTCCGCACCTTGGACGACTACGATCGTTATCCGGTGCAGACCTCATCGCCGGTTCCAACGGAACATCATCCCTCCCTACGTTACCACATAGTGAGGCGTCCCAGGTACATGCCGCTAGTGCAGAACCAGGCCGTCATGACCAACGACATTGAAGCAGGCATTGCGGGGGGAGCTGCTGGTGAAGAGGTGCTTCCAGCTGCAGAAGTAGCAGCTGGCAGGCACTCGTACAGCCGCTTCGAGCCGTATCGCGTGGAGCTGATGAACTACTACCGGCACGACCAGGATGCAGCCACGTCGGGCTCGTTGAGCCAGCTCTGGCGACGCTACGTGTACGATAGGAAGCTGTATGCTCTGCCCGTCAGCGATAGCTTGACGGGACACTTTCGAGAGTGGAGCGCCCGTTTCTACAGGTGCGTTTGTATAACTATATTACCATACTACCCATACTGATTTCGATTTCAAATCTTTGGTTATAGAAATAATCCCGCCCAGATGCATCGTCTGATGCCTTGGATCCATCGCGACATTATGTGCCTGCTGAGAAATGCCGCACATAGCGTAAATACTGTGATGACGCTGATGAACGATATCCTGCCCATGAGCAACATACTAGGACCCACATTCCGTCGCCGGCTGTCGCCGTTTCTTGGCGGGCGCACCAGTCACTTCATCCACGAACTCTTTAACTTTGCCCGCTCCCCTTTCGACATGATCGGCTACGACCATGTGGTCCAGTATTCGGCACGAGTGGCCGAGGAAGTGGAGGTGGATCTGTTGGACATGGTGGAGACACAGTCCTCGAACGGTGATGATCTGCAATTGGAGGTCGGGGATAGCGATGCGGATGCTGTAAACGCTGACTTCTCCGCCGATTGGAGCCCCTCTAGGGTACGCCCGTCGACCAGTGTGATTGTAACCAATCCCGGTGCCACACATTCCTTTAGCGTGACAATGGCCAGTGATGGCAGTGAGCTGCCGGGCATCTCCATACGCCGTACAACTACTTCCAATGTGGGCTCCCAAACGGTGGCCATCAACTTGAGCATGAGACGGCCAGCGGCGGTTGCCAGCGAGGAAGCAGAGGTCATTGAGATTGACGATGGCGATGCGGCCGCAAATGCGGAAGTGGCGGCCATCAATGATGGCAGCAATACCAGCAGGAGGCACGCAGGCGCTTCGTTGCCAGTGAGTGTGCACATCGAACTGCAGAGCAGCAGCAGTTCTGGCGATGACGATGAGTGCGTCTTTGTGCTGGAGCTGAAGCCACCACACCTGCGCACTCCCGAGCAGGTGAGCCTCGACTCAAATAGTGACTCCGATGTTGTGTTCGTTAATGAGCAGAACGAAGCTGCGCCGCCAGCAAGTGTCGACGACCGGGCGACACATTCGCCGGTGGATCCGGCCTCCAGGGATCAGGGCCTGTTTATGGGCCCCAGCACAAGTGGCGCAGCGGCGAACAGGGGCAAGAACTGGAAGCTGGTCATGGCGGAGGCACGTCGCCTCGATCAGTTGCGCACGCTGCGCTCCACACGTTCGAAGAGATCACGTCAGCGGTCCTCCATGCCTGCCCGCAGTGACAGTGGCAGCAGCAACAACAGCAGCTCCAGCAGCTCCTCCTTCCACTTCAGTAGCAGCAGCGATGAGGACAGCAGTGCCAGTAGTACCACCAATTCCGAGCCACCCAAGAAAAAATCACGCAAGCCGGTGCCGAAGAAAAAACGTTCGAAGAAAGTATCAAACGGGAAAAGGACATCTCGTAAGCGGAAACCCAAAGATCAGAATGTAGAGCCGGAACTGAGCCACGAGCAGCTGGCAATGCTGGAACAGCAGAGACAAGTGGCACAGCAGCAGAAGAGCCAACAGAAACCCCAGCAGCAACCGGAAAGCAGCAGTGACAGCCCTAGTTCGTCCGATGACGAATCAGGGGGCGATAGCAGCGCGTCGTCCGGTAAGTGGTTTGCGATAATGACGCATGATGACCGGATGAAGCGAGTCATAACAGCTCATGCTTATGTTGTATGTGTGTATTTCACCACATTATCCGAACAGGAAATAACTACAATGATCTCTACAACTATCCTATCAGATCAAACAGTACCTTTTCTTCAACCAATTTACTTCAAAATGATTAAAAGAAAATGTTCTAATCATAAAAATTTGTCCTTAGGTCAACCCAAGACGAACAACAACAATTCCAGTAGCGATTCCGATGATGATAGCACTGTAAACCTGCAGCTCAGTGCTTTACGGGCGACACTAAAGGCGGAGGCAACTCTGGAGGATAGGAAACCACTAAAACTGGAGCTCCAGTTGCCCGATGACGAGCATCAGCAGGAGGTGCCACACAATTCAGGGATGACTTCAGCGCCAAGAGAGGATACCGAACCGGGATGCAGTGTACCGAAACGACGTCGCAGCTGCAGCCACAGCAATCAGTCCAGTCAGAGTGCCAGTTTGGCCAGCAGTTCGACAGCCACATCGAGCTCGGGCCAAATAAGTTCGTTTGGCTGGGAGGCAGTGGTTTATTCCGGCGATCCTCTGATGCGCGGCAATCCAGCGATGGAGGAGCACGACATAGCCAACTCCCTAATCGAACTCTCCACACTGACGCGACCTGTGGAGATCGGACTCTTTAACGAGCATTCTAATTCGTCAGAAAATTCCATAGGCATGCTGCGCAACACCATTTGCGGCAGTCCACAAGCTTTGGCGGCGCATGACACCAATTTAGATATTTATTTCGATAGAGATACGGGTCCGGATGCCAGTAATGAACGGGATGGCTATTCGGTAGAGGCCGCAATCGATGTGGTTGGAGAAGCAGAGTTGGAAGCCACCGAGGATACAGCCACTGCCACCGAAGAACAAGATGAGGAGGACGATGAGGATGAAGATCAAGGTGAAGACGACCAGGAAGAGGAGAAAGCTGCGGAGGAGGAAGAGGAGGAGGACGATGATAGCGATAACCACGATGAAGAAAAGGAGTATCGGGGGCTACTGCCGTATCTAGCATAAGCCGCTGTCGTTGATTTTCATTTAAGTTGCTAGTTTAAGGGAATGTTTAACTGGTTTCCGTCTTGTCTTGTTCCGATTCCTGAAATCTCCGAAACTCAACAAATAATATTTGTAATTGAAATTGCTATGTAAGTAACTGCAACTAAAACCAGTAAGCGTAAGCTCAAACTAGATGTATTCTAGGCCTAGGATTGCCATTTTAAGTTGTACATATTTAAACATCTATATCTATATATATAATATGTATTATGTTTACGCACCCATCCATCCACTGCAAGATTATTTAAATTTTCTCTCATACGTGTAGCCCACCCCCAATACCCATTCGATATCCCTCTGAAGTTCATATCCCTTCCTCTCCCCACATCGATTGTAAATGTATTCACGTAGGTTAACCGCAGCTATAACTAACTAACTATAAACAATGACAACTAACTTTGCTGTCGTAGCTTTTAAATCGTAGAACTAGCGCTGATCAATGTATGACGAGGGTGTTAATGTTTTTTGCATAAGTGGGCGTGGCCAGTTATGAAATTTAGTTTACTCAACATACAATGAACAAAGGATATCTGTAATACGAATCAAATACATAATAAATGTAAAGATTAAATGTAAAACATTGGCCTTTTTGTGTTGTAGCATTCTAAAAGTTATTCTGGGTGTAACAAGTGTTCTCAATTCGTTTCAATTTACCGTTCCCTCATAGTTGGAAGTTTTTTCTATTTCCAATGTCCCCACGAAAGCAGGTTAATTAATCGCATGTCTGAACAGTCCCATATTTTCTTAAATCGAAGTGCAACAGAGCTCTTCATTCCGTTGAGCCTGCGCAATAAGCATAACTTTTCCTCGGACTGACTTTCAATTCGAACTGTGCTTGTGCATTTTTTAAGGAGTTAAATATTTCCATTTTTGGTGCGGCGCACTTGTTTTTCCCTGCTCCTATTTTCGGAATTTGGTTTGGGGAAAAAGGTATAATATAATTGTCCTGCCTGCACGGTAAACGGTAAGTAAAAGCGCTTGGTTTTCTTAAATTTTAATCTATATTATTGTTGAAACGATTAATATTTTATATTATTTCCCAACCAGTTTACGAGCAAAAGTAAAATTGAAATAATCAAAAATCTAAAAATAGAATTACCTTGAGTGAAAACAGTAAGCAAAAAAGTGTGCAGGTGTGCGTAGCTGAGCTAGAAGACGATTTTCGGTCCCGAAATCAATTTTGATTTCTCTGGCTCTTGAACAAAAATTCAAGAGAGCATGTGCAAAATAATATGGCGCATACGCATCTTGTTATTCTAGTGTCTTTGGCCAGGATCTGGGCTTAGCCCTGGAAAAGTTATCCCTCAGTCTAAATGTCATTAGGGTTGTCGCCTGCATTTGCTTGGCTCGACTGACAAACTAATTTGCGTGATGTTGACGAAAAACTTTTTATTTGACTTGCTGACTTGGTCCACAGTCACAGCCCACTTTTTCCAGTTCCCTGCCATTTTCCTTTTCTCTTTTTTTGTGATCAAGAGACAGGCAAGAAATAAAAGCGAGACCCGTCGACCAGTGTAATTATAACCAATCCCGGTGCCACACATTCCTTTAGCGTGACAATGGCCAGTGATGGTAGTGAGCTGCCGGGCACCTCCATACGCCGTACAACTGCTTCCGATGTCGGCTTCCAAGCGGTGGCCATCAACCTGAGCATGAGACGGCCAGCGGCGGTTGCCAGCGAGGAAGCAGAGGCCATCGAGGTTGACGATGGCGATGCCGCCGCAAATGCGGAAGTGGCGGCCATCAATGATGGCAGCAATACCAGCAGGAGGCACGCAGGCGCTTCGCTGCCAGTGAGTGTGCCCATCGAACTGCAGAGCAACAGCAGTTCTGGCGATGAGGATGAGTGCGTCTTTGTGCTGGAGCTGAAGCCACCACACCTGCGCACTCCCGAGCAGGTGAGCCTCGACTCAAATAGTGACTCCGATTCGGTGCTCGTTAATGAGCAGATCGAAGCTGCGCCGCCACCAAGAGTCGACAACCAGGCGACACAATCGCCTGTGGTTCCGGCCTCCAGGGATCAGGGCCTGTTTGTGGGCCCCAGCACAAGTGGCGCAGCGGCCAACAGGGGCAAGAACTGGAAGCTGATCATGGCGCAGGCACGTCGCCTCGATCAGTTGCGCACGCTGCGCCCCACACGTTTGAAGAGATCCTCCATGCCTGCCCGCAGTGACAGTGGCAGCAGCAACAACAGCAGCTCCAGCAACAGCAGCTGCTCCAGTAGCAGCAGCGATGAGGACAGCGGTGCCAGTAGTACCACCAATTCCGAGCCACCCAAGAATAAATCACGCAAGCCGGTGCCGAAGAAAAAACGTTCGAAGAAGGTATCAAACGGGAAAAGAACAGAATGTACCAGACCAGAATGTAGAGCCGGAACTGAGCCACGAGCAGCTGGCAATGCTGGAGCAGCAGAGACAAGTGGCACAGCAGCAGAAGAGCCAAGTGAAACCCCAGCAGAAACCGGAAAGCAGCCCTAGTTCGTCCGATGACGAATCAGGTGGCGATAGCAGCGCGTCGTCCGGTAAGTGGTTTCCGATAATGAAATAACTACGGTTATCTCTTCAACTATCCTATCAGATCAAACCGTATCTTCTAATCATACAAATTTGTCCTTAGGTCAACCCAAGACGAACAACAACAATTCCAGTAGCGATTCCGATGATAATAGCACTTTAAACCTGCAAATACATAAGAAATGTAAATGTAAATAATAATGTAATAAAATGGCATTTTATATGAAGTTATAAACTCCATAACTTAACTTATCTTAATCGGATTTTGAAGTGGCATACCTCTAAATGTTTCTGGCGCAATTCTCTAAAAATCTGCATACAAATTTAGAACATTTTTTAAATGATGAAGTGTAATTATTATAATAAAGTAATATTAAAATAATTCGGTATTATTATGTACATTTATTCACCTATTACTATTTCTATGATGTAATTAAATAATTATCATATAACTAAATATATATCATATCAATCCAAAATTCGAGTTTTTACTTTTTACTAACGAGTACTTTGTACTCGATTGCCAGAGTACAAATAATATATATATATATAATATATAATATAAAACATATTTTCTTGTAGCCCTATAATTACCAACTAGTTTTAGTGCAGACTGTAAGGCATGTCTTCTAATTTAGAGTCACAAAATATTTCAAGTAATCTCTCTTACCGGTCGAGCAGTGAATGTAGCGTATGTTTAGTGTATGTACCGGTGTATGTATGTATGTATGTATGTATGTATGTATGTATGTATGTATGTATGTATGTATGTGTGTATGTATGTATGTATGTATGTGTTACTTGCACAAAGTAGTCAAAATTGTCTTAAATAAAGCCTGAGGAATGTTTAACTTACTGTCGGAACTCATAGTTATTGCCGCTTTGAATATTTGCTTAGGAAAAATATTTTCTTGTAGCCCTATAATTCCCAACTAGTTCTAGTGCGGACTGTAAGGCATGTAAGTCATTTAGAGTCGCAAAATAGTCCACGTAATCTCTCTTACGGTCGAGCAGTGAGTGTAGTGTATATGTATGTATGTACCGGAGGATGTATGTATGTATGTACCGGAGGATTTATGTATGTATGTATGTATGTATGTATGTATGTATGTATGTATGTATGTATGTATGTATGCATGTATGTATGTGTGTGTGTGTGTATGTATGTATGTATGTATGTATGTATGTATGTATGTATGTATGTATGTATGTATGTATGTATGTATGTATGTATGCATGTATGCATGTATGCATGCATGCATGTATGCATGCATGCATGTATGTATGTGTTACTTGCACAAAGTAGTAAAAATTGTCTTAATTAAAGCCTGAAGAATGTTTAACTTACTGTCGGAAATCGTATGGCGTTACGCATCTTATTATTCTAGTGTCTTTGGTAAGAGCGTATACTAGATTCGTTGAAAAGTATGTAACAGGCAGAAGGAAACGTTTCCGATCATATAAAGTATATATATTCTTGATCAGGAACAATAGCCGAGTCTATCTGGCCATATCCGTCTGTCCGTCCGTCTGTCCGTATTAACGCCTCGATCTCAGGAACTTCCAAAGGTAGAATGTTGACATTAAGCATGCAGCTTCCAGAGACATAGACGCAGCGTAAGACAACAACATACACAACATTCAAAATGTTGTCACGCCCACTCTAACGCTCACAAACCGCACAAAACCGCAAGAAATTTTTTATTAATTTATAAATTATAAATCATTTATTATTTTGTAAATTTCTATAGATTTGCCAAAAAACGTTTTGCCACGCCCACAAACCGCCCAAAACTCTCACGACCACACTTATAAAAAATGCTTAAGTTATTTTTCATTTTATTATTTTTCCTCCATTTCTACCGAAATTCCAGAAAATTTCGAAATTTCTCGTTAGCGATTCCACTAGCTTCCACTAGTCGGGGAACTCGACTATAGCATTCTATCTTGTTTCTATTTCCAATGTCCCCACGAATAGCAGGTTAATTATTTGCATTGTCTGAACAGTCCCATATATTGCACACATGACATCGCATCGTGTAAATGCACCTAAAACCAAAAAGTACAACAGAGCCCTTAATTCCGCTGTGAATGCGCAATAAGCATACTTTTTGGTGACTTGCAATTCGAACTGTGCTTGTGAATTGTTTAAAGAACGATCTAATTGTTTAGTTCCTATAAGGTAAATACTATCAAATTGCATGTGTAGCTGGGAAAGGCCATTTCGTGAGCGGCAGTAGGCGGTGAAACTCTGAAACCGAATTTGTGTTTGACAATCCCAGGAATTTTCAGTCACGCCTAAAGTTACTTGGTTACTTGGTTTTCTGCGAACTGCATATTGTAATATTATTGTATGTATTTACGTGGACTGCGGAAATAATGATGCCACGACACATGGTCCAATGGCGCGTGTATGTCTACACCAATTCGCTATATTCGCTGCCGGATCGCGAGACGAGCGGCTTTCGCGGCTGGTCACCCCAATACTTCCGGTGAGTTTGGGCCTCCCCAAAATACAAAATGGGAACTTTCAACTTTCTGCCACATTCTGTCATTGCTGCATTTTCTTGCAGCCGCAATCCCTTCGAGGTCCATAGGGTTATGATGTGGGTAAACCGGGATGTTTCGGTGCTGATCAGGAACAGGAAGGCGGATGTTTTCTATCTGTACGAGACCATCAAGAATCTGCTGCCTCGTCTTGGCTTGGACAGCATGCATTTCCGAAAGTCAATGGTCCACTTTTTTGGAGCCAAGACGGAACTTTTCATCCACGAACTGATCAACTTTGCTCGTTCCCCGTACGATGATCTAATGGCCTACGAGTGCAACACCCAGTACAGGGCCTTATTGCCGGACGATAATGGTCCCAGTACCTCGTCGCTATCCAGGGATCACGAGTTCTTGTCCTCGAGACTGCTCAACTTTGTGGACTTCACGCGTCGCATCAACTACGACGATTGCGGTGGCTTCGCGGCGGATCTGGCGCTGGAGGATGAGGACTACGGGGAACTAGATGATATGATGGTGGAGTGCTATAGCGCTCCATTCTTGATGAAGTTGGACGGCCAGGTGGTGACAGCCCGAATTATCCCAAGCTCGCAAGCTATAGCATCTAACCAGGGTCAGGTGAATCCACAAACTCAATCCCAGGCCCAGCAAGCGGCAATTCAGCCATCTCAGCAGGCGGTTCAGCGATCCTTGCCGTCGGGACAGCAATTAGGCCATCAGCATGCCTCATCGTCCGCTGTCATGCCCCCATCTATAGAGGATCTGGAACTCGAGGTGGCCATCGAGCGCAGTATGTTCGAAGGAGCCGCCCAAGTTTCCGGCGGTCAAGGTAGCGATCTCGTCCTGCCAACCGGACGAGTGTTGCGCTTTGCCAATAGCAACACCAATAACCGTGCGGTGCGCAATCCCAACGGAAGTGAATCAGGCTCCGGTGTCATGAATCCACCACCACCACCAAACGTTGCCACCGGCACTTCCTCCGCCGTGCCGAACAATCCAAGAAATGTGTCCTTACACCGGCCCCGCCGCCGCCGCATGCCCTACCAACGCTAGGAGGGATACCTAATTACAATATCCTGTTGCAACATTTTCATCTCATGTATAATACAATCGAGTGCGTCGAGGTCTTTGTCAATGGCCTCTCGCAGCACACACAGCAGAAAAAGGGTTTAAAGGGCATTAAAAATTGATAACGATAACTGAAAAAAGGATGGCCCATCAATGAGGACACGCCATGTAAAATTGCGTGCCAAATATGCCTTTAGCGCATATTTCCCTTTGTCTTAATTTCGGCTGAAAAGGTAGCAGCAAACCCCACGCCTTCCACATCCCCTGTCACATGGCGCATGAAAAATTGAATTACACGCACTTTTGCGCATAAACGAGGGAGCTGAGATAAAAAAAAGCAAAAATGTTGAGTGAAAAATGCGGCCGATTTAGGGTTTTCGCTGGAGGAATGAGCCTGGAGGGTGCGGAGGTGCCCCAGCTGCTTGTGGTAGCAAATTCAGGTCCAGAAAATTGAGTTAAATATTCCCTTTTTTGGTGCGGCTTACTTGTTTTTCCCTGCCATTTTTTTTGGAATTTGGTTTGGGGAAAAAGGTATAATATAATTGTCCTGCCTGCACGGTAATTCAATGCATATTTGATTTTATGTTTCCTTCGGCACAAAGAAGCATTAATGCATATCGAATGAGGCCCCTGAAATCGAATCGAATCATCATAATTGTTAGAAGGCATAAACTTACGCATTTAACCAAAGATGAAAAGTATCCACTTTTATTGAATTGGCCTTGTACATTATGGCATTACAATATTTTCTACACTTTTCAATGGATTATAAGTAAAAGCGCTGGTTTTCTTAAATTGTAATCTATATTATTGTTGAAACTTAAATCGATTAAAATTTCATATTATTTCAAAACCAGTTCACGAGCAAAAGAATTTGACTAACTTCCATTTAAATGGAATTCGTACTAATTCGTTCTCACAACTCACGACTGCACAAGGGATAATCCCCGAAATCCAATCGAATCATTCCACATAGCCAGTGTGAAAAAGTTGAGGCGTTGAGGCGAAGTCAACTGAGGGGGAAAACTGCATCTTGCGTCCAATGGACTCCATCATCACCAGGATCTGGGCTTAGCTCTGGAAAAGTTATCCCTCAGTCTAAATGTCATTAGGGTTTTGTCGGCTGCATTTGCTTGGCTCGACTGACAAACTAATTTGCGTAATGTTGACGAAAAACTTTTTATTTGACTTGCTGACTTGGCCCACAGTCACAGCCCACTTTTTCCAGTTCCCTGCCATTTTCCTTTTCTCTTTTTTTTGTGAGCAAGACAGGCAAGAAATAAAAGCGAGACGATTCAAAACTTTGCGCCAGTTTGCACTGCATTTTGAGATGTTGAAATGGGGCGGGCTGGTAATTGCGAGGCTGAAAGTAGTTTGGTTGCCCGGATTTAAGTTTGAGTTGCAAATTACGCCGCCGACTTGAATTAAACGTTTCAGATATCACGCATACGCACCGCTGCCTCTCAGGCGCCAGCCAAGGGATCTTTAATGTGCATTTCATGGAAATGCCTGGCTCGATCTGCATAAAATATTCGTTCGCCGTGATTTTTCCGGCACCCCAACGAATTATCGCGCATAAGTGTATTTCGCTGTTCGTTGGCTTATCTCAAATTATGCGCGTGGCGTTGCAAAATTAAAATAATTTCCACATTCGCCGCGGCGAGCAATTAATCAGGACCGCCGCTTACTGATATGCGGTGCGGCAGTTATGAGTTCTCATTTGTGCCCAATGGTTTTGCCCAAGTTTTGATTTACGGACATCTCCTACGGCCACCTGTCGCCCCTCGGATCCTCGCACTTCCTAACCCTCGGGAGGAACCCATCGTGCCACTCGATATCCCGCTGCAATGTGCCACATTCGGTTTTATTCTTGTCTTGCCTTAGATTTCCGCATCCGACGTCCTTCTTCCGTGGATGCTGATTTTGCACTGGAGAAAATGGGAGTAGCTTCTTCATGCCTTCTAGCGAAGCATTATTAGGAAATTGCAAAAGGCACAATCAGATTAAATGAGTATGTTTATGAAAATTTAATTCATTTTGCTATAAGGTATATAAATGTAATCGAATTCTAACGCAATTTTGATAAGTTTGGATAGGATAGGATTAATGATTGTTATTTTGTAATTCCTGCTTCTTTATTGTATATTATTGCTGAATTGTTATAGTATCTTAAATTTCACATTTATGTTCCATATACTTATTTAGTGCATATTTATGGCAGTGCATGCGCCTGTTTTCCCCCTTTCGGCATTTGCCAACTTTAATATGTTGGCACAGCACGAAGGCACGGCTTTCGATTCGCGTCGAGTTTCCATTACATTGCAACGGAAGCCGGATGTTGAAATTGTTGAGGTTTCTCCTCCAGCGTGTAGAAGCGTTTGTGTGTTTCTGTTTGTGTGTGTGTGAGGGGGGTGTGTGCGTGAGTGGAGGAGTAAGCAGCTTAGGAAAACTGCTTGGAAGGCTGGCGATGTTGAGGAAATTGCCAGGAATACCATGGCTACCGCGAAGCGATTCGAAATCGAATCCGGACGCAAACACGAAACCCAATCGCGCTGCTTTCTTTAAATGCTCAATCAAAAACTTCTCACGGATTCTCGGGAAATGATTCAATTTTTGCGCAATTGTCGCAGCTTAACTCTTAAGCAGAGACTCCCTCGATTACGTAAGCGATGTGAAGTGGAAAAGCCATAAAGCAGGCATCAATTTTCAATAAACACCCATACTTTGCATATTTGGCTATGATTCAGCACTAAAATAAGTTGGCAATCTGCGTTTAAAGAGCTTTTTATTTTCTCGTTGATTTGCTTAAATAAATAAAGTAAAATCCCCTGGAAAACCATTTCTTATTTTCTTAGGGTAAATAAATATTAATACGCAGCCAGTTTAATGCATCGTTTTCTGGAAGCATGTGCAATCAAGATAATGTGAAATTTAAAAAGTCCAAATGGAAAGTCGTTTTTTTTACCTCAACTTGCTGGCTTTTTCTATGGAGAGAGTTATGCTTTAAAGCCTACTTAAATGACACGCTTAAATAAATATAATAATTTTTTAAATGAGCGATTTTCCGATCTTTGCGTTACTTTGCGTTGGCCTGTTGCGTGACTTCATATATTCGTGTTTTTTCCTTTACGCTACCGCTGACTTTCCACTTTCTTGGCGGAGAAAATGCGTGTGTCATAAATCTACTCCCGCGCTTTTCCCTTAAAATCAAGCTATTTATCACAAGGCGGCGAGGACGACGTCATGCTGCTGCGGTGGCAGCCAGGATACGAGGATACAAGGATGCCTGGATGCCTGGATGCCTGGATTGTGGGCTCGCAAGATGTGGGAATGCCAGAACGCTGCGATGCCGCACTCTTATCATCATCGAAGTGGGTCGGGGACGCATATGTTCCGTGGCTGTTGATGCCTCGCCGCAGGATTTTTTATGGGTCTGCCAACGCGGACCGCTTGCTGAGGTAAAAAGTTGCGGACAACAAACTTTCCTTCTTCACGGCTCGACTCTGTTCCTTTTTTGCTACGCTTTTCGGGCTTCCTGCTGCGTGCGGAGGTGACAAGAATCCGGTAATTTGTGACTCCAAGGTTAAATGTTAATGTGCGCCATTATACAAACATTTGACGTTTTGTTTTGGCAGCAGCAGGGGCGACAGTTGAAGCAAACGGGTTATAAACACGTGCGACCGTCCAAAAGGTCCTCGTTGCGTATACGTTATTTTTTATGCTCCTGCTAATTTGACTGGCGCCAGGTAATAATGCTCCCCCGGCAATGAGTCCCCTGTAGTTTGCTTAGGCTGCCGGCCTTAATTTAAAGAAGCCAAACTAAACATGGCCAAGGACAATGCTTACGCTTAACTGTTCTTGGCCACCGAACGTAGTTTCGCAAGTCCAAGGACCCTGCAGTGGATCCTCGAAAGCGTGAACAGAATATGGAATCTAAAATCATATTTATTATCTTTCATTTTTATTCTTATGAGGCTAAAATGAGACAATTTTGTTATCAGTCAGTAACTCCAAGAAATTAATTGTTTATTTTTATTTGAGTTTTTCTTATCAATAATGTATGATCTAGACTTAATTGATAAAATTCCAAGGTTAGTCATTTATTGCAATTTCTTATTAAATGAAATTAAATGATTTAACTTTGAGCACACCAAGTGTACGCAATGTTAAACTTATTGTAGCTCGACCGTACTTTTGGGATGACCTTTTGGGTTCAGCCTGCAAGAGACTTGAAATGGCTGCTGGGCGACCGTCTTAATGGCAGCTCCGAATGTTGCTAATGTTAATTTAAGAAAATATTCCGACCCGGCCATCTGCGAGTGGATATGTGTGTGTGTGTGTGTGTGTGTTGCCTGGAAACACTTGCGGTGTGGCAGCATTTGTGCATTATTATTTGCGGTCAAGTCTTTTGTGGCTTGGCCTTTTAGCATATCCAAACCCCTTTGAAGCCGCAGCAAATGGCAGTGCCAGCAGCGGACTAATTAAAGAAATATTCATTTCAAAATACTTGTAGCTCCGCCGGAAATTGCACACCCACCCGCACATACATTGACACACCGCTTTGGCTTCTCCGTATGTGTGTGTGTGCGTGTGAGGTTGTGTGACGTGCAAGAGGCAATCAATTACGGCGAACCGTTTTGCCAAAAAAAGCGTGTTGCCTACTTTCCGGCGCCCGCGTGTTTGCCAACACAGCAGCACAATTAATTATGTACATTGGGGCCCCTTTTTCCTTTTCCCACCAACACCCCGCCCATTTTTCCGCCCCTTTCCTTGCTGTTTGCCAAAGTCTGTGTTTGTCCACACAGAGGGAAATTGTATATAAATTGAGCTAGTCTTTATAGCATTTAAACAAGTATTACATTTATTTATGAATACTTAATTGCAATAATTGGTGCTCATAAATAACTGCATAATTTAACAAGTGATTCACTTATCTAAAATTTATTGGCAGCATAAATCGAAACGAAGATTGCGAAATAGGCGCA